GGAAATCCAGGCTGGGTGCAGGATGAGGAGCAGAGAGTCCAAGCCTTATTCATTTGGCCAGAGACCAGAAGCTTCTGCTCACCAAAGAGTTCCAGGAGAGATGAAATTTCATCGCGGAGAAAGGGGATTGACACACTGCCAGCAGAGGCAGATGAGTTTCCGAGACAAAATATGCAGTCTAGGGTAAATGCTACTTAATCTTAAATATAAACTACAAAGAGAGTAATTGTTTAGTCATTGGGGGACCTTTGAACAATTCCTTTTTTGCTACTCTTTTCATTTTAGCACCATTATCTCTGTGCTGCCGACCTGTTTCCCTGCCAAATGGGTGTGTAACCAAGTTAATGATGCTATTAGCCAAAGCTCGCTGTAAAAAGGGAAAATTTAACCTAGGCCAAGGAGAAAAAAATAATAAATCCCTAATTTTATAAACTACTGTTTTGTGAACTTTTTTATTCTCACAAAGTTTGGAGAAGATGGAGTTGGCCCTAAGCAGTAGCAGAGTGCAAAGCACCACCATTTACTGATTTTCCTCCAACAAATAATATAATAACTGTAGACCACATATTTACTAGAAACCACTGGACTCTTGATTAAATGGCATGGATGTTTAGATTTCCACATAATTAAGGATTAATAATTGCCACACACCGTGCCCCCAACGCTAAGTGGTGTTTAACCTTCTGTAGTCACGTTTCTGCTAAAATTCACCCAACAGTTCCAGTTTCAGACTTTGCTGATACACAAGTGATCGCTGAAAACCATACAGGCAAAACCAATTTTGCTCATTTTCTCTTTAAGAGAAAACCTAATAAAACCTCTAAAATGTTTCAGGATGTCTGAGCAATATTTTTAAGTCATTTGCAGATAAGAAAAGATTCCAAAGCCCCAAGGAATGGAATAAATACTGGCCACCTTCATTAACCTACTAAATTTCAGGAAGAGATAATGGTCTCTAAGAGAGGCATATGTTTGATTTTCAAGCCTGAGGACACTTTCATGATGACACATCGGCAGTGATTGCCAGGGGAGGTTTGCTGCAGTTTATTTCAAACACCATGGTGTTTGGGCCCATTCATGTGTTCACATGTTTGACAAACATAAAGGGATGAGCTGGGAGGCTTAGGTGAGAAAACACAACAATGATAACTATAGCAAAGAGAATACAGCACCTGCCCGCACAGTGTTTACAGTCTAATGTCAGACAAACACAGAAGGACTGCAGGAGTAATTGTAAGATGATAACCATAGCAATTGTTTCAAAGAGGGGTGCTTTGGTGCTGTGATGTGTAACAGTGGGAATTGATGAGGTCAGGAAGGATAGCAGCGGTGTCCAGAAGTTAAAACGTTTCTTCAATGGTTAAGGGTTTATCCCCTTCGCTTTTTGTTTGTTTTCTTTTTTTTGAGACAGAGGAGTCTTGCTCTGTTGCCCAGGCTGGAGTGCAGTGACACAGTCTCGGCTCACTGCAACCTCTGTCTCCTAGGTTCAAGCAATTCTCCTGCCTCAGTTCTCTCCTGAGTAGCTGGGATTACAGGCACCGCCCCCCCCCCCCCAAGCCTGGCTAATTTTTTGCATTTTTAGTAGAGATGGAAGTTTCACTATGTTGGCCAGGCTGGTTTCGAACTCCTGACTTCATGATCTGCCTGCCTCGGCCTCCCAAAGCACTGGGACTATAGGTGTGAGCCACTGCACCTGATCCATCTCACTTTTTGGAATTCTTCTGTTCTCTGTATGTGAGCAGTTAGCCAAGTGAAGCTAGTCTCTGGTGCTGCCGGCCTCTTGTGATGTCCCTGGTATCAATCAGCTTTGGGATAATGGTATGTTATTGTTTGCGTGTTTCTGGATTATGTTTTACGTATTAAGTCTGATCAGGCTTTGCTGTGACTAGCCCCTCAGAAGTAGTTAAACTCTGAATCACTGATATAAAATATTTTTCAGCTGCTCCTATCAGCTGGCCTCCTCAAGTCGCTGTTCCTGTGTCTGGGGATAAATCTTGGCTACAGCCATCTGCTTTTTCTGCTAAATTGCTAGCTCACCTCTACTTGAATGCTTCTAGAGATGGAAACCTGGCTGCCTCCCGAAGCAGTCCTCTATCTTTGGACAGCTGCACATATTAGCAAGACTTTCTTTAGAAAGTCTTTCTGGCAGCGTCTTCTGTTTGGTCATATGTGTTCTGGAGTAAGGCTTAATGGAGATGAGATGGAAGGACACTTATGTTCTGAGTGTCTCCTCTCCTGAGTTTCTTGGGGGACGGGGGGACTTGAGACCTTCTGAAACCTAATGATGTAACAGAATAGGACATATGTAATCAGTTTGAAAACATGTGCTGGTGGTTGAGTTTCTTCAGCGATGGATTATCATATTCCCTGTCTTAATCAGTTTGGGCTGCCATAAGAAAAGCACCATAGACTTGGGTGGCTTAATAAATAACAAACATTTCTTTATCACAGTTCTAAAGGCTGGGAAGTCCAAGATCAAGGTGCCAGCTGGCTCAGTTCCTGGCAAATGCCTGCTTCCTGGTTTGCAGAAGGACCCCTCTTGCTGAGTCCTCACATGGCAGAGAGAGAAGAGAGAGAAGCAAGTCTCTTTTTATAAGGACACTAATCCCATCATGAGGGCTCCAGTCTTATGACACAGTACTACCTAAAGGTCCCACCTCCTAGTGCCATCATGTTGGGAATTATGGTTTTAACATGAATTTGGCCGCTCTCCACTGATAATGGTTTGGCTCTGGGTCGCAACCCAAATCGTACCTTGAATTGTAATAATTCCCATCTGTCAAGGGTGGGACCAGGTGGAGATAATTAAATCACGGGGGCAGTTTCCCCCATACTGCTCTCGTGATAATGAGTGAGTTCTCACGAGATCTGGTGGTTTGATAAGAGCCTGGCGTTCCAGCTGCTGGTGCTCGCTCTCTTGTCTGCTGCCACGTAAGACACGTCTTTTCTTCTCCTCTGCCTTCTGCCATGATTGTGAGGCCTCCCCAGCCATGCTGAACTGTGAGTTCATTAAACCTCTCTCCTTTATTCATTATCCAGTCTTGAGTATGTCTTTATTAACAACGAGAAAACAGACTAATACATCCACTCTCCATCAAAATTAACACTAAACACAAACCCATGAGTGGCCACAAGTGGTCTGAATCTGTGCCCCTATCTCCGCAGGACTAGCCTTCATAGCCTGGAGATGAACCCTTTCTTGCCAACTTCTTTAAGTCACCGAGACCCTTTATCACTCTGCTTCTAGATTCACTGGATGCTCACAATATTACAACTGGGAGTATGAAGAGCCAGCCTGCTTGTTTTCTTGAGTTGGTTGTTATTTTAGATTCTCCCTACCCTCATATGCACACTGTTCTCATGCAGTTATAGGGCGCAGACCAGGCAATGCCAGTTTCCCCAGGTAGCCTGGCATGCCTCACAGTGGTAGGTGGTAGATCCACACTTAGGAGGTATAATCAGATCAGAAGGGCTGAGGAATTCACGCTGTAAAAGTACTACTACTGAAGGGAGAACTCGTTTAATTTTGCATAAGAAGAGTGATGAAACAAGGATCTCTGGAAGATCATGTTCTCTTCTAAATATACACCTCGAAGGCTGATGTCTTTCTGTCCCACCTGGCAGTGTGGTTGGCTCTCAGGGAATTAAAAAACAAAAACCCTACTCTGCCAAAGAGGAGTTTGAGTTTGCATTCAACTTATCAGAAGCTCTACATGTAAATGTAGCATTTTATTGCCTACCGTGTGTAACACATCATGTACAGTGCCTCACATGTTCTAGCAGATCCCAACGCATGGATTCCATTGTACCCATTTTTCAGATGGGAAAAATCAAACAATTAGGAAGAAACTGCATAAGTAGGACTGTGGATTTGCCTGCCTGGGAAGCTCTGCTTTTCCATCAGGTTGTGTCTTTAGGAGGTGTTGCTTTGTGACAAGGCACTGGGATGGCTTGAGGAAGGGGCAATGTTGAAGGAGGAAGCCTCATCTGCAGGCAGACTGGCATTTGTGCTGCTGTAGATGCATAGGGCAACAGAAGGAAGACCACTAATGGTGGAGAGAATGGGTGGAGGCATCTCCGCAGATGCTAATGTGCAAAAGAACCTTAATGATGGAAGTCAGTTAAGCTGGGTGAGGCAGAGAGGTAGGCTGAGTCCTAGCCGAGGATAATTCAATAAGTATTCAGAACAGGCTGTTGGACTGCTCACAGTTGCTTGCAGGTGGAGCTGGTCATGGAGAAGGGAGAGCTAGAGATGCTTCCTCTACAACTGCAATTCTCTAGCTCAGTATTTCTGGACTTCACAACGGTTGACGTTTTGGGCTATTTTTTGTGAAGAGGGGGGTGGTCTTGTGTATTATAGTGGGATTAATAGCATCCCTAGCCTCTTCCCAATCCTGACAACTAAAACTGGCTTCAGATGTTGCACAAAGTCCTTTGAGGAGCAAAACCACCCCCAGTTGAAACTCTGCTGTAACTCAATATGCATGGCAATATTAATGGCAGGTGGCTTCACTCTCCTTTATACAGATAGAAGAACCGAGGTTAATGGTTGCAAAATTTGTACCTCGGAATGTGGAGTTTTGAAACTACATTTGTTCTAATTTTATACAAGACTCTGCCTTCCTGCCAAGGGGTAAAAAGGACAGGGACCTCTTGGACTCGCTTGCTGGGAGCTTTGATCTGTTTCCAATGCTTTGTTCCTTGCCTCTGGCTTGGTTTGCTTATCCAAACAGGCAGGAGCACCCTATGCAGTGTGAGAACAAATTGCATTGTTGGATTTTAATCCCTTTAGGTACGCCTTATTAATGCTCTTGCATATCCCACTGTGAACGCCTTCCTTCATTCTCAAACATTTACTGAGTCCCATCTATGTCCTAGGCATGATGCTTAAGGCTGGGGATGGAAGGATGAACCAGTCACACCTGACTCCTGCTATCCTGGACTTTATATCACAGCTGGAGACAGACGGCAGCAGCAAGACAAGGACAACTGCAACAGCAGCAGCAAATCCAAACCTTGCAGTCTGATAGAAAATACAGGATGGGAGACCCAGCCAGAAAAATTGAGATCTGAAGGGTGAGACACTACCAGCTTTATGACCATGGAGGGAGATGGGGCAGAAGACAGGCACAGGGAACAGCCAATTCAAAGGGCCCCAGGAGAGAAAGAGCTTGGTCTGCTTTAGAAACTAGCAGAGAAGTTTGTGGGGGCTGGATTTGTAGTGAGATTCACCACCCTGACTCTAGTGCCTGACCACTGGGAGTCCCACCTAATCCCTCTATGCACAGATTTTCTTTTTAAGATAGAATCTCACTATTGCCTAGGCTGAAGTGCACTGGTATACTCTCAGCTCACTGCAACCTCTACCTCCCAGGTTCAAGCAATTCTCCTGCCTCAGCCTCCCAAGTAGCTAGGATTACAGGCATGAACTACCATGCCCAGCTAATGTTTTGTATGTTTAGTAGATACGGGGTTTCACCATATTGGCCAGGTTGGTCTCGAACTCCTGTCTTCAGGTGATCTACCTTCCTTGGCCTCCCAAAGTACTGGGATTACAGGCATGAGCCATCACACCCAGCCCAGATTTTCAGAACCACAAAGTCTTTGGCATGGAAAAGCAGACAGAGTGACTTGAATGCATTTGGAAGAGGATGAACTCTCAGCCTGACAAATTCTCTGGAGACAAAACACTGCCTCCATGTATGTCTGCTGCTTTTTGGGCTTTTCAAACCCACCTGTGTTGTTCCCATCTTAAATTCAGCAGGAGCTGTGGGTCCTCAGTAGCTGCCTTGGAGACTTCATCTTCCTGAGCTCCTTCAAGCCAAAGCCCTGTCTCTTCTTCCCACTGCTTGGGCTTCGAGGCTCTGCCTCGGCCTCATCTGTGTTAGGTGACCGACCTGTGTGCCTGTCTCACCTTCTGTCCTGGTTCTTCTTCTCTCTGCTTTGCCCTCTTTCTAGGATTCTACGCGGTGAACATGTACTGGCCTTAGGAGTCTCCTGTCTTTTTTTTTTTTGAGATGGGGTCTTGCTTTGTCTTGCTGGAGTGCAGAGGCATGATCTCTGCTCACCACAACCTCTGCCTCCTGGGTTCAAGTGATTCTCCTGCTCAGCCTCCCGAGTAGCTAGGACTACAGGCATGCACCACTATGCCCAGCTAATTTTTGTATTTTTAGTAGAGATGGGGTTTCACCATGTTGGCCAGGATGGTCTCGATCTCTTGACCTTGTGATCTGCCTGCCTTGGCCTCCCAAAGTGCTGGGATTACAGGTATGAGCCACTGTGCCAGGTGACTCTCCTGTTTTATTCTCACCCATACCTTTCCCCAGGGGCAAGGCCATGGGTGTCATCTCCCTTTCTTTGCTCAGCTTCCCTAATTGTTCCCCCGAATGGATTATGTTCCTGTCCTGTTGTCTTGGGGTTTGCATGGAGCCCGGCCCTCTCTGTTAGGAGAAATATGCCACTGTCTATGTGTGGAGCCTGCACTGTGAGCTTGCCTGAAGCTATGTGAGCCTTGGGCATCCAGGGAAAACTAAGCCACAATTCCTGCCTTCCAGAATGCATAGCCTCCTGGCTGAGGAGGGGCCAGAATCTCAGGGATGAGGAGGCAGCCCCATGGCACCATGAGACAAGGCTGGAATTTGCCATCCAGAAACTTGAGCTAGAATGCAGTGCAGAAAGGCAGGAGCTGTGGAAGCTCAGGCAAGTCCCTTCATATACGTGGCAGCCAGGATGCCCGACAGGCCGGGCAGGGGAAGCTATGGGAGTGTGCCTGGCTTGGACATCTGTTCAGTGACACTGGCTCCCAGCTTGTCTCTGGCTGTGGGCTCCTCAGCATCTTTCTTATTTTCTGAGACCCAGTGGCAGCTCCTGTCTCTCTCCCCCTTATGTCTCACAACCATTTCTCAGATGGATTGCAAATAGACAGTGTTTCTCCTCAGCCTCCATTCTCCTGGCAGCCTAGGGTCAGAGAAGAATGTAAAGTTGATCATATAGATGAGGATCAAAAGGAGACTTCACAATTCATTGGCTGTGTGATTTCTGACAAACAGCTCAACCTTGCTGGGTCTGTTTTCTCATACATAAAATGGAGATGATGGCTCCTTTGCAGCAGTGCTTAAGAAACAAGGATGGAAGCACTAGACAAGGCTGGGGACTTAGGAGTTTTCACCAAGCCTTAGTTTCCGCCTCCCTTCTTCTCTCCCTCTCTTCTCTCCTTTGCCTCCCTCCTTCCTTTCTTCCACTTCTCTCCCTTCCTCTCTCTCTTCCTTCCCTTCTCTCTCATTCCACTCTCCTGAATGAATTCTGGCAAGATCACTTGAGGACGTATATCCTTTGTCTCCCTGTGAGAGCCCTCTCCCCACCTTCATGTAATTGTCAGCAACAAAGTTGGAAAATACAGACGTCTGAAGCAGCTCTCAGCACCGCAACATCTGCACCAGACAAAACTCAAAAAGCCCTCAATCCCCAGTCATGAATGCACTATAAAAACAATGTGGCAGAAATGAAAATTGTTCCATCATAATATTTCACAGTTCTTTTTGACAAAAGCCAAGCCGCCCTCATGAATACACATTTCCCAGCATCTTATGCATTATGCATCAGCCTATAGCAGGGGACCAGGGAATTGCCGGTCCTTAGTAAAGGGCCTTTGAAAGTGCCTATTTTGTAAACAAATGGAGCCCAGGCCCAGCACTCAGAATCTTTAGGTAATTTAAGACCGACTCCAGCTGCCCTGAGTGGGGACTGGCTCTTCTCAGGGCCGTAAAAGGCAAAAGAGTCTCTAATGTTCACATGGTGGAGAGGGAGTGAGTCAATGTTCTGTATTCTAATCTCCAATTTTATAACATCCGAGACAGCCATTCAGAGGATCTGGGACAATTCCTGCCAGAGCCAAATGTCACTGGAATGCCAGATGAGCCTGCTAAGGCTGGTTTTCTGGCCACGCAGTCAGTAGTCAGGACTTGATTCCCAAGTGCCACAAACGGCATCGAACCTTGCAGTGAAGATGCTGATGAGTGGGGGTGACTAAGGAGGCCCAGGCAGGGCAGACACTGTCTGCCTGTCTCAGGTGGCTTGTAGGAGACATTTTTTTTTGTTTGCCCAGTGCCAGCAAATTGGAAGTGAGAATGAAGTGTGCCTTACTGTCCATGGGAGGACAGTTGAAGTTCATTAACTAGCCCCTGTGTTTCCAAGACAGGTGTACTGAGGCCAGATTTTTTAAGTAACAGGTTCAAGGTCACACTGAGAATGAGCAGCAGGTCAGGGACTGCTGGAAGCCTGGCATCTTTCACAGTGCCTCCCACCGCCTCAATCATGGGTTGGCAGGGCCTGAAAAGACCACGGGCAAAATGGTTTCTGATTGCTACGATTTGAGTAAAGGGCAGACTGGGATCCTTAAAACAGCCCTGGAAAAGAACATCATGCAAGGCCATTTTGTATAATTTGCAATCTGTCCTCTATGGTACAGATTTAAATGGTGACCGATAGATGATAGATACTGACATCATCTCTGTTGCAATAACAAGATGGTGATTGATTCTTTGCTATGTGTATTTATTTCATAAAAGCATTCAGGTCACATTAGGATGTCATGCAAAGGGAATTGAATTGAGAAGTGGAAATTTGGAGTTCCAGGGTTGGACATGCCCTATTCTTGCCTTCTTTGGACCTCAAATTCTTACCTGTTAAATGAGGGGTTCAGCAGGGATGATCTTTGGGTTGCATCCCATCTGAAACATCTCTCCTGTCTGTGGCTGAGCACTGGCACTGTGCAGAGGGCACAATGAAGCTGGAGAGGAGAGGGGCCCACCTCATGCTGAACAGCGCACCTGCATGCCTGGGCTCCCTGAGGAGGGGTGAGGGGAGGTGGGAGAGACCCCCGCTTAGGGAAAGTCGAGGGAAGTTCCTTATTACTGCTCCTGGTGCCTGGAGCTCTCCAGCTGTAGGACTCGTTTGCTGATTGATGTAGTTTGACTAATGAAAACAACAACTACTGAAGGCTGATTAAGATGAGGCAACTTGTTACTCCTCACAGACACCTGCAGGAATTTACTTAGGCACTTAGGCGATGGCTGCTTCCCCATCCTCTGCTGACCTGGAGAACAGGCTGATGGTGGGTGTCAGTTGGGAGAAAAATTGGAATCATTAAGCCACCTGTAACATGGAAAGCCTGCCCAGGACTCTTTTTTATTTTTTATTTTATTTTTTTGAGACAGTCTCACACTGTCACCCAGGCTAGAGTGGTGCAGTAGTGCAATCTCAGCTCACTGCAACCTCCCCTTCCTGGGTACAAGCAATTCTCCAACTTCAGCCTCCTGAGTAGCTGAGATTACAGGCATGCACCACTATGACCAGCTAATTTGGGGCAAGTTTTCTTTTTTTTTTTTTTTTTTTTTTTAGAGACAGGGTTTCACCATGTTGGCCAGGCTGGTCTCAAACTCCTGACCTGAAGCAGTCTGCCCACCCAGCCTCCCAAAGTGCTGTGATGATAGGTATGAGCCACTGCACCTGGACCTGCTCAGGACTCTTGAAGGCTGGAATACATGGTTCTTAAACTGTGTGTGTGTGTGTGTAGAGGGGAGATGTTTATAAGTTCCAGGTGATATTGTTGGCCCAGGAACTGTACCTTAAACACTGGTATAGAGGTCAGGTGCAGTGGCTCATGCCTGTAATCCCAGCACTTTGGGAGGCAGAGGCGGGTGGATCACCTGAGATCAGGAGTTTGAGACAAGCCTGACCAACATAGTGAAACCCCATCTCTACTCAAAATACAAAAAATTAAAAACAAAACAAAAAACACTGGTATAGAAAAAAAAAAAGACTACCTAAAGATCCTCCATTTTCATGTCTCAGCATCTTCAAACTATTCAAAAATATCCCCCAAAATCTGTGAAAAAATAACTTCAGCTTCTACAAGTGGCATAGTAGCAAGTATAAAGCATCCCTGAATACCTCAAATGGCTATTTATTTGGTTTCAAACTAAGAAATAATTTCTCCTGAATTATGAAAGTAAGATATTCAGTTTGGAAGCTTTAGAAATACAGAAGAGCATTAAAATGAAAATAAAGTAACATAAAAACATGTCACATAAAGGTAACAGCTGTTGGCCAGGTCCAGTGGCTCATGCCTGTAATCCCAGTACTTTGGGAGGCCAAGGCGGGCAGATCACGAGGTCAGGAGATTGAGACCATCCTGACTAAAACAGTGAAACCCCATATCTACTAAAAACACAAAAAAATTAGGCAGGCATGGTGGCAAGCACCTGTAATCCCAGCTACTTGGGAGGCTGAGAAAGGAGAATCACTTGAACTTGGGAGGCAGAAGTTGCAGTGAGCTTAGATCGTATTATGGTACTCCAGTCTGGGTGGCAGTGCAAGACTCTGTCTCAAAAAAAAAAAAACCTCCACAAAGAACAGCTGTTTACAGATGAACCTTCTTTTATTTTTGCCCGGTGAATGTGTAAATATGTGTATATGAGCCTTGGCACTGGTCTTATGCAGTTTGCCTGAACTGGGATTCTTGAGATGATTGGTAGTATGAACAAAATAGTAAAAACAACAAAACCAGAAACAACCACAACAATGCAAAAGGTGTGTAGTGGAGGCTGATTGGAGGTGAAAATCCTTGAAAAATGCTGAGGTAACCAAAATGTAAAAAGCTGAAGAGTCTTTCACCAGAGCGATTAAACTCCATGAGCCCTCGATACGGTACAGGCACTTGGAGAGGTGGTGTTCTCCTAAATGAGCATCCTTATGGAATTCCTCCTCTTCCCCCCATTCTCACACCAAGCTTTGTAAGGGCTGAGGTTTATTAACAGTCCTAAAACAAATGCCAGGAGAGTTGTAAGAAATGCACTCTGGGTGTAAAATATCATGTAGTTTAAGCTTTACATCACATCATTCTCTTTTGTTGGTCATCTTGGGTTTTCTAAAAGAAGCTGATTTATTTTGTTGGAAATTTAGTAAATAAGCAAGAAAGGGTCATTTCACCTCCATTATCTATTATCACTCCAGAAAATCAAGAGTCAGCATTTAAACACCACATTTTGCATGGCCTTGGTCTGTGCTATAACACAAATTGAGTGGTTTTTTTTGTTGTTTGTTTGTTTTTTGGAGACCGAGTTTCACTCTGACACCCATGCTGCTCTGCCTCCCAGGTTCAAGGGATTCTCCTGCCTCAGCCTCCTGAGTAGCTGGGACTATAGGTGCACACCACCACGTCCAGCTAATTTTGTATATTTAATAGAGATGGGGTTTCACCATGTTAGCCAGGCTTATCTCGAACTCCCAACCTCTGGTGATCCACCTGCCACGGCTTCCCAAAGTGCTGGGATTACAGGCATGAGCCACCACATCTGGCTAAGTTTTCTAGGTGTTTGTCTGACTTGGCTTCAGATGGAAGCCTCTTTGAAGCTAGGGGGGTTTCTCACAGATCCTTGTGGCCCAAAGGCTAGCATAGTCCCCTGCAGCAAGTATGTACCAACACATGCCCAGTGGATATGACAATGGGCTCTCTTATTGTTCTCTTTCAGCAGAGATAAAGAGTAAATGCTAATTACATCTGAGTTTGAGAAATTGCAATAAACCAGCTGCCATGGGCCCATAGGAGTAGGAGAAGAAAATTCAAGCTCTTGGGAATGACTTAGAGGTAAGCGCTAATCCACCCCAGAGATGTCTGAAGGTGTTCTTTTCCACCTGATGATGGTTTTCCTTAGGAGAGAAAGCCTTCTTGGGTATTTGCAAAGTCTCCTATATTGATTGTATTATCTTCACTTTGTTTATAAATGTTACAACTTCTACCCAGAGTCTACCTTATTTACATGTTTAAAGCACTGTTTTTGTTCAAATCCGAGATGGTCTGTGGGTCCTGGGTACTCAGCACCGCGTTCCTGGTTTTCTGCAATTGGCAGTGGCTATATCTGTCTTGGGTTATAATCTGAATTTATCTCTGCAAAGATCCCAGGCCTGCATTTGCCAGGAGCGCAGTGATAGGCGGTCTTCTAACAGCACCTCAGTTTCCAGGATCTAGTTTCAAGAGCCAGTTTCATTGATCAACTTTGGGATATGCGTGCTCTCTTTGACATTACGCTCTCTTTACATTCCAAACAGCATGTGGCTGACATTGCTTTTACTTCCCAGTGAGTCAGAACTAGAACTAGCTAATGATGGGGATCCCCTCATCATGGGAACTTGAGAACACTCACCTATTCCACTCCACTCATTTTCAGCAAATAGGATTCTTAAACCATCAAAGCAAGCAGCCTTTCCAATGCCACTCTAATTCTATTAATGCAGCCTAAATTCATGTTGGCAAACATAACATGCTATTGGTTTACATTGAGCTTATGGTCCCCTAAGAGCTTCAGCCGTTTCATTTTTTAAATTTTTAAATTTTTTGACACGGAGTCTCACTCTTGTCACCCAGGCTGGAGTGCAGTGGCCCAATCTTGATTCACTGCAACCTCTGCCTCCCGGGTTCAAGTGATTCCCCTGCCTCAGCCTCCCGAGTAGCAGGGACCACAGGTGTGTGTCACCATGCCCAGCTAATTTTTGTATTTCTAATAGAGATGGGGTTTTACTATGTTAGCCAGGATGGTCTCAATCTCTTGATCTATCCACCAGCCTCAGCCTCCCAAAGTGCTGGGATTACAGGCGTGAGCCATCACGCCTGGCTGACCTTCAGCCATTTCTAAGTCTCCATTATATCAGCTGCTGTCATGTTGCATGTCTCACCCTCATATATTTTATTTTAAAATAACTAAATGTGGAATCTTAGAAATGTCTGCCTGATTATTCTAAGCATATTGTTCTGGTTTGGTCAAGCTTTTTTGAAGATTGGGCCTGAGATTCTCTGTGTTTACTTTTTCTCCATGTTTTTCTTCACCTGAAGAAAGCAAGTCCTTGTCCCCATAAACTTTTCCTTCAAGGTTTCAGCCCTGGATTTAACACTGTGGGACTTTGCAGGTTCATCACCCTCCTTGAGCTATTCTGTCCAAATGTAAAATGAGAGCAGTGACAGGTAGCTGGCTAGGCTATTGCCATATTTAGACATATTATTTATGAAGTGCCCAGTATAGCATCTGACACATAAAAGGCACTTGGTGAATATTTTTGTCAGGTTGTATATTTGTATCTAACAGTGCTTTTCAAAAAGCAAACAAAAGAAACTAATGGCCTTCTTTCCGGAATCTCAGCCAAAGGGGTGGCATTTTGATTGGCCAGCAAAGAGTTACAGCGCATAAAATCATCAGGGAATAGGGACGGCAGAGGCGACCAACAAATTACGTGCAGTCTTGGGCAAGATTCTTAATCTCTTGAGCCTCAGTGCCCTCATATCTAAGATAAGAAAACACAGGGACAGTATCTGGCATGTAGCCATCTGGTAGCAAATGGAAGGCCCTTTCCTCCTCTTCCTCCCCATACCTCCTGCCTTGGATACCTCCAAAGGGCTCAGCTCCAGATATCACAGGTCACTGAGACCTCTGCCCTTTGAGTTTGCAGGCATCGTTCTCAAAGCTTCCTGAGACAGCAACTGTCTTAGTCAGTTTGGGCCACTGTAATAAAACACCACAGTCCGGGCGGCTTAAGCAACAAACATTTATTACTTACAGTTCCAGAGGCTGAAAAGTCCAAGATCAAGGTGCCAGCAGATTGAGTTCTCGGTGAGGGCTGCCTCTTGGCCTGTAGACAGCCTCCTCCTTGCTATGTACTCACAGGGCCTTTCCTCGGTACATGCTCATGATCGGTCTTCCTCTTTTTTTTATTTTTTTTTATTTTTGAGATGAAGTTTTGCTCTGTTGCCCAGACTGGAGTGCAGTGGCGTGACCTTGGCTCACTGCAACCTCCACCTCTTAAGTTCAAGTGATTCTCCTGCCTCAGACTCCTGAGTAGCTGGGATTACAAGTGTGTGCCACCATGCCCAGCTAATTTGTGTATTTTTAGTAGAGACCAGGTTTTGCCATGTTGGCCAAGCTGGTCTCAAACTCTTGACCTCAAGTGATCTGCTTGTCTTGGCCACCCAAAGTGCTGGGATTATAGGTGTGACTCACACCTTTGATCTGTCTTCCTCTTCTTATAAAGGCACTGATCTCAGCATGAGGGTCTCACCCTCATGACCTTATCTCAATACCATTACATTGGGAGTTAGGGCTTCAGCATATGGATTTGGGATGTTGGGAACATAAATATTTAACTTATAACAGCAGCTTTACGCCTGAGCAAACCAACTGGGAGAGATAGTGATGTCTGCATGATCCATAGACAATCTCTTTCAGTCACTGTGATGGGCTTGGCCCACAACATGTCCTACCATTGCCTGCTCTCTGATCCAGTGCATACTCTTTCCTCTGCCTGGAATCCACCTGTTCTCCATGCACTTCCCATTCACCCATTCATCTCTTCAAGATGCAATGTTTTCTCCTTCAGGCAACCCAGCCCCACCCATGCTCTTACCTCGCTGTGCTGATCCCTGTCTCTCTTCCAAGGGGCTGTGAGGAGCTCATGAGAACCAAGATCATATGTCTCATCTCACTTTTATTCTTCAGTGGCTAGCCATCTGCCTGGCATGTAGTAGGTGCCTACTAGGTGTTTGGATCCATGAATGTAATAATGTTCACTCTGCAGAAAGACAGAGATAACAGGGATGCATTGATATAACCACTGGTGAAAAAGACACCAGCAGAGAATGTAAGAAAGTGATTGAAGTAGGGATAGGATTGCTCACAAATATTTAAACGAAAATTCCAGGCCACAGGTGGTAACTCACCGTGTAATCCCACCACTTTGGGAAGCTGAGGTGTGAGGATTGCTTGAGGCCAGGAGTTTGAGATCAGCCTGGTCAGCATAGCCACAACCTGTGTCTAAAAAAATAAAATAAAATAACTAAATGACTAGCCAGGCATGGTGGTGGCGTGTACCTGTAGGCACAGCTACTAGGGAGAGTGAGATAGGAGGACCGCTTGAGCCCAGGAGTTCACGGCTACAGTGAACTATGATCGCAGCACTGCACTCCAGCCTGGGCAACAAAGCAAGACCTTGTCTCTAAAATAAAATAAATTTCCTACCTCAGTGGTGTAGCAGGGCCAAACAGAGAGAAAAGCACCCTATCTGGATGGTGAGTGCCATGAAGATACTCAGAAACTGGCCAGGTTTCCTGCGAGGGGCTTTTGTCTGTTTGAACATTCCACACAGGTTCATCTAAGCAGAGCAACTGTATCTGATAGAAGCAAAGTCTCTACTTAACAAATCACGAAGCTGAGAATGAGCATGAACAGCTAATGATCATCTTAATTAACCCACAAAACTTTATGCACAGCCAGTGTTCAGCCAACCTTTTGATCCTAGGCAGAAATCTATTAAAGCCAGTTAAGAGAATGAAAAGACAAAATCTGATGAATGCTTTTACCTTGGTGGATATAAAAGGTGGCGGGCTTGATAAATCTGAGAGTGATCTATTTGCCAATAGCAATATTACATGAAGTTGGGGAAACATCATTCCCTTAAATGCAAGCTAAGTGAGTGGCCTGAATAATGGCTCACAATTACATGTGTCCAGGGCCTGTTGAGGCTGGAAAGGATAGAATTCACGTCACTGCTTTAGAAGGAGCTCATTTTCTCCAAAGGAGTAGTTTCTAAGCTTGCCTTGAGTAGGAACTGGTTTCAGAATCTAATGGAAATTGTGGGCTGGCTCCTGGGATAATGCACATGATATGTGCACAGAATACTGGATGTTTCTCGGGGTGTTCACATTCTCTGAGACGTTCATCTGTGGGCTTCAGTTCCGAATCCCTGCTCCTAGAAGGCTTGAGGGTCTGGTGTATAGATTTTCAACTGCAAATGTGAGGTGTCTTATTAGAATCATCTTTGAAACTTTTTTTTTTTGAGACAGAATTTCCCTCTTTTGCCCAGGCTAGAGTGAAGTGTTATGATCTTGGTTCACTGCAACCTCCTCCCCTCTGGGTTCAAGCAGTTCTACTGTCTCAGCCTCCTGAGTAGTTGGGCTTATAGGCACCTGCCACCACACCAAGCTATTTTTTGAAATTTTAGTAGAGATGGGGTTTTGCCATGTTAGCCAGGCTGGTCTTGAACTCCTGACCTCAGGCGATCCACCCACCTTGGACTCTGAAACTTTTCAAAATACACTTTCCCCCACGTGATATGAAAGCATATTATTGGAGTCTTCCAGGAGGAAAAAAATGCAATAATATTGAAACTTAAGCATTTTGGAAAACACCCCAATATTTTCCTCCTTCCCTCCCTCCTTTCCTTTCTTTCTTTCTTTTCTTTGGAGATGGAGTCTCACTTTGTCACCCATGCTGGAGTGCAGTGGTGTGATCTCGTTCACTGCAACCTCTGCCTCCCGAGTTCAAGCGATTCTCCTGGCTCAGCCTCCTGAGTAGCTGGGATTACAGGAGTGCCCTACCATGCTCAACTAATTTTTTTTTTTTTTTGAGATAGAGTCTCGCTCCGTCGCCAGGCGCCAGTCTGGAGTGCAGTGGCGCAATCTTGGCTCACTGCAACCTCCGCCTCCTGGGTTCAAGCAATTCTGCCTCAGCCTCCTGAGTAGCTGGGATTATAGGCACGTGCCACCATGCCCAGCTAATTTTTGTATTTTTAGTAGAGATGGGGTTTCACCGTGTTGGCCAGGAT